AGGGGGGGGGGGCAAAATTTGGAAAAAAGGGTTTTTTTTCCCGGGTTTTTTTAAAAAGCAAAACATTTTTTTTCCCCCAGGGGGGGGGTTTTAAAGGGGAAACCCCCCCCCCCCCCCCCCCCGGTTTTTTAGTTTTTTCAAAAAACCCCCCGGAAAGGGGGTGGGGGGTTTTTTTCCCCCCCCCCTTTTCCAGGAGCCAAAAAAAGGCCCAGGTTTTTTTTTTTAGGGAAAGGGGGGGCCCCCCCCCCCCCCCCCCCCCGCTCCCCCGCGCCCTCCTACCTGCCGGTGTGGTTGGCGGAAAGAAGCACTAGCTCGAGCCGTCTCGACATTGCACATTGCGGGAGGGTGTTAGTTCTGTGGTCGAGAACGGCTACAGCGTGCAATCGGTCGTGCGCAGCCCCCCCCTACTGTGGTGGTATTGATGCCATACACACGAAACGTGCACGTTTTTCTTGATCTGCAGGTGGCGCAAGAAGAGATGGACGTGGACAAGGAGTGGGTGGACCACCTGTCGAAGCGCATGTACGACGCCGTGATGACGCGCATCCCGGACGTTACCCTTAACGGAGACGCCGACAGGAGGTACCCGGGGAACCTGAACTTCTCCTTCGCTTACGTGGAGGTACGGGCGGGCGGGCGGGCGGGCGCGTGCTGTGCTGTAGAGTACACAGCAAGAGTTTCGTGATGGGAAAAAGTAGTCAATGCTGCTGTTGCCTTCTTTGTACGTTTCTGACGTTATTAAATGTTTCAGAAAATGTGCATAACATGAACGAAAGAAAGACCCGTTGGAGATAAATAGCCACAACAGCAGTAGAAGGAGATTGTTTGATTTTGTTTGTTCTTGTCTCGTGCATGCTTCTTGGAACACAAGCGCGCTTGAAAGCAGCATATTTGCGTGTATGATGTGTGTGACGTACTTGTCTGCTCCTTCGTCGACGGTTTGGCCTCGCGAATGATTTCCTTGTTTACTCCACCCCTTTTTGGCCGTTACTTTGTTTTCCGTCATTCTCGCATTATTAGTATAGTACAAGTTTTGCGAGGCCAAACCGTCGACGAAGGAGCAGACGAGTACGTCACACCCATCATACACGCAAATATGCTGCTTTCAAGCGCGCTTGTGTTCCAAGAAGCATGCCCAACACAAAACCAATTGTTTCAACCCATCCCCTTGTACTGCTTTTGTGGCTATATCTCGAACGGGTCGTTTCTTTCTTTCATTGTATGCACATTTTCGAAAACATGTATACGCTGGAAAGGTACAAAGAAGGCGACAGCGGCAACAACTCGTTTTTCCATCACGAGGATCGTCTCTGTTGGCAACGAAACCAAAACCACACTGCCTCTTTGGCAAGACCCGCCTGGAACAGAGCTTGCAGACGATGAACACTAACGGGCTACGTCATTCACTTGGGACTATATTCCTTTGAGCGATTTAGGCACATGTAAGAAAAAATCAACCGGGTGGGCTACATGCGAGTGGAAATGCGCCGAGAATAATATTTCCCGATTAGAAATGGCCACGACGTCGGGATTCCGCCACGAAATGAAGAGCCCCAAACCACGGCACATGTGCCACGGCCTACCGGGAACGCTATGCTACGAGCGGGTATGCATGTCAGCAGTAAACCAAGATAATTGACCCCGCTCAATAAACACACACAAACTATAGGAGTGTATTCCCACTCAAAATATGGTTTGTGTTTGTTCTATTTCGTTTTACAGATCGTTTTTTCTTGTTTTGTGTTTGGGAAGACAGGTACCTGAAAACGTCGTGTATTCCTTTCTATTGTTTGTTGAGAAACGAAGGAGTTGTGTAGACTACCCCCGTACAGCCCAGCATTTGTATCTTTTTTGTCGTTCGTGACGGTGCTCCATGAAAGACAATAACAGTCCGTTCTATGGCGGAAGCCAGAGTTTTTTTTTTTTTTTTAGTGCGAAACTCCCCCCCACCCGGCGAGAGCGCGTTTTCCATTTTTTCTTGCGTGTTTCATGAACAAACAATTTTTACACACCGCGTCACCGTCATCACCGCCACCATTGCCAGGGTGAGTCGTTGCTGATGGCGCTGAAGAACATCGCGGTGTCGAGCGGCAGCGCGTGCACGTCGGCCTCGCTGGAGCCGTCTTACGTCCTCAGAGCCATCGGGGTTGAGGACGACCTAGCGCACACCAGCATGCGATTCGGTAGGTGTCGAAAGTGTCGCTCGTGTGTCGCTCGTTCGTTTTATGTCCTTGTGGTTGTTGTTGATGTTGTTCCTGTTGTTCGTGTTGAGGACGACCTGTTGTAGCGCACACCAGCATGCGATTCGGTAGGTGTCAAAGTCTCTGTCGTGTGTCGCTCGTTCGTTGATGTCCTTGTTGTTGTTGTTGTTGTTGCTGTTGTCGTTGATGCTGGTTATGCTGTTGTCGAGTGTTGTTTGTTTTCGATTTTTTTGTGTTCGGTTGTGTTATCCTTGCGACTGTCTTTTCCGAAGTGTCGCGCGTAATTTAGCCACCTCTCGCCTCCGTTTTGGCACGTTATATAACAAATGATTGATACTGATGGAGCCGCCCTCCTTGTAGGCATAAACGCGTTTCTTCAAGTACACGTGCGGGAAAAAACCAGAGAAGACATGGCGTGATGTGTTTGTTTGCGTTGGTCTTGAAGGCGGTGTGTTTCACGTTGGTGCCATGAGGGCAACGCGGTTGCTATTTCCCTTCGTGGCACTCTTTTTAGTTCTGGCTGTGGTGTGGTGTTATAGAACGTAAGAAACACGCCTCTTTACTCCACGCACAAAAAGAACAAACAAAACGGGTTCTCTACGGGTTTGGACGCACTTCGTGTGTAGATACCCGCAGCAGCAAGGGGGTGGCGTTATTGTTGTATGTCAATCTATTGTCTTGTTATTCCCGACATCGGCGGGGGGAGGGGGGGGCGAAGAGGCACAATATGTACATGTTGCCCTTGCCGTACGAGAGGAGAGACAGCACGGCGGTGTACTCCACGATGCGTTGCTTGGCCTACGCGTAGAGACACCAGCTGGAGAGGGAGAAAAAGAGAGGGAGATAGACTGTTTATGTTACCACTCCATCGCTCTCACTGCGTGCGTGTCCGTTTCTCTGCCTGTCTTGTCTGTCTCTGTCTCGCCCTCTGCGTCTCTCCCTCTTCTTTCTCTCATACCTCTGCTGTTTTTCCTCGCTCACCCCCGCCTTTTCTTTTCTTTTTTTATTTCGTTAGGGATCGGTCGATTTACCACCGAGGAGGAGGTGGATTTCGCGGTGGAGTCGCTTGCGCACCACGTGGACCGGCTGCGGTCCATGAGCCCGCTCTGGGAGATGGTCCAGGAGGGCATCGACATCAAGAGCATCCAGTGGTCGCAGGACGCTCACTAGAGACGGATGTCATGCTGCATGGTTGTCTCAACTGCTGTGTTTTCCGACGGCGCTTCTTGCCGGGATTTGATTCTGAATAAGCAGCGCTATCGAGAGAGAGAGAGAGCGAGGATGGAGAGCATCCTGTCGTCACAAGATGCTCACAGGAGAGACAGGATGCTCACAGGAGAGACAGATGATTTCATGCTGCCACGTCTGTCTCAACCGTGTTCCGAAAGCGCTTCACCGTTGTTGGCATTGATTTTCAACAGGCAGCGGTATTGAGAGAGAGAGAGAGAGAGAGAGAGAGAGAGAGAGAGAGAGAGAGAGAGAGACGGGATGAAGAAAATCTAGGTGTCGACGCTCGTTGGAGGCGGACGTATATTCGAAATCATGCGTACACGCGTGCCACGCCTTTTCTGTCTTTCTGTCTCTTTCGTCCCTCTTTGGGACTCGCTTTGGTTCAGCAGCGAGCGGTACTTACTTATCGACAGGGGGAGGGGGCGAGGAGCACCCCAGTTGTCGCAAACGAGCTAACGACAGTAGTGAGAAGAGGTTTAATCCTCGACAGCGGGGTCGAGATTGCCTAGAGCCTGGAGGATGCTCACGGAGAGAGGGGAGGGGGGGCACCGCATGATGAGCGCACGGATCAGTGTAGACAGACGCACCAGGCCACGTGTAGAGATGAAGCGATCCTATACAACCGCGAGCGTCCGCCACACACGCATCGCATCGATTGCGGTCGTTGATGTGCGAGGCGTGCTTTTTGCCGTCGCTTCTTCTTGTCTGCTGTGATGGGCGCCTTGACCCTGGATCGATGACCGTGTTGCATGTCGACCCCGGTACCCCCCCATAGTTTTCCAATTACCGAAGGATGCGAGAGGTGGCACCCCTCTGCTAAATAGACCGATTTTCGAAGCTTGATTACTCGAAAACCAAGCTTAAGCTTGTGCCAACACCACAACTGGTAGTTGTGGAAACATCTCGTCGAGGGCTTTCCGTTGTAGACGCACCGGGCTCTCTCTGCACCTACTCAGTTGTAGAGCAACCGAGCTTTGGAAGTCGATCTATAGGGGGGGTGCCATCTCTTTCGGTTATACACGAGGCTATGGACCAACAGTGAAAACTGGACGTTTTATTTGCTGTGGGGAGCCCTCAAACGGGATGTCGCTCGTGTCACGGGGTTTTTCGATGGGACGATGGAATGGTGACCCCGAAAACACGTTCGGGAGCTACAAGGCTTTCCCTGGTGCTCAGAACTCCGCCTTCTCTGTTGCTATGAATGTCTGTTTTTTTCGAGTGTCGTTTGTGCTGCGCGCCCACCGCCCTTGGTTTCCCCTAAAATTGTAACAACGTCTAGATATTTTCTGGTAATTACCCCTTCCCCCCCCCATCTGCTCCAGGCGTAGACGTTCGAAAAACAGAAGAGAGGGGTGGACGCGCGCGTGTCCGTTATATGGTCGAGGTACAGTAGGTCGTAGTCTCGGTGAAGGGAAGCTGGGACATCCGAGTGAAAAACAAATCACAAAACAATAATGACAGCAGTTTTCCCTGCACGCGGAGATTGTTGGGAGGTCCACAGACAGACCTGAATTAACAAGAAGTGTCAAACTCTGGATGGTTCGCGCGCACACCTGCCCCATCACGTTCCATGTTGTTTTGCGTTGGTGGTCATGGCGGGCGCTTCGAGATCCACCCCTTCCTTCATTCCACGAAGCAAATGTGTACGTACACCAGAACGCGCACAGCCAAATACATCTGTAAGTTGTGTTTATAGGCGCCATCCGCAACTGACCGACATACCCTGTCCCCAGCTGAAAAAAACAAAAAATTAAGAAAAAAAAAAAAAATCAAAAATCGTTTTTTTCTTTCGCTTAGAAACGCTCAAAACCGACGTCTAAAAAGTTGAACAAAAAAAAATTGGTTCGGGAACCCCTTCATTTTTTTTTTTCGCCGCATTCCCGAACTTTTTTTCAACTGTTCACCTCGGCAATCGCTTCCGCTTGGCCGATTTAGGGGGGGTAGAGCCACTCAGAAAGTTGCTCAGACCAAAACTCAGGTGGGTAGAGCCTCGATCATGAGCTCAGCCCAAGCTGGGCCAGCGGCAGCTGGACTAGTGGCGGCTGGATCTCACGACGAGGAACGGACACACTTACACACGGCGATCGGACGGATCAACCCTAAACTTCGGACGGTTACACCCACCATGTTCCAATAAAACAAACAAATAATACTCCCACATACACGGGAGACGTACTCGTGGGTGCGTTTCACGCGAGTCTGCTAAACAAGGGAGACGAGAGTCCCGCTTTCTTGTTGCGATGGGACGCACGATCCCGGACGACTACCACCAGACGAGAAATCCGTCACGTGTTCATCCATTCCAAAATACACCCCCCGTTATGCAAGCAAGCCTGTTCGTTCGTTCGTGATACAAACGGCCTGCTTCTTCCTTGGAGGCGCCACACATGTACAAGATGTAACCGTCGCCTCCCGTCGGCGCATTGCGACACAAACCAAAACTGGAGAGTGCACGAGCTACAGAGTGCCCCCCGCCCCCCCCCCAACCCCCTTCTTGTCTGCCGCCCCCCTAAAACTTGCCGTAGGTCGCGCAAGCTACTACCACAGTGCGATGGCCGATTGTTCAAAGCTCGAATACTCGGCAGCAAGGGAAAGAGTTATTGTGCCGAAAACATGGGCGTTCGAACCGTCTCGTCGAGAGCTTTGCGAAATGGCGTCGTTTCGGCTGTGGCATACTTTCCTTTTCGTCGCGGAGTACTCGAGCGTTTGAAAATCGGCCAAGGGAGGGTGTGTGGAACCTTACGGCATGCCTGCCCGGCGTTCTTGTTGTAGCCTCTCCGGAGTGCTCTCGGTGGCGCAATGTAGGAAAAAAAAAAAAAACATGCTCATCGAGACCACACCACACACGTCGTCTGCGTGGCCCCTTCCATCAGGCAACAAGAAGGACCGATCACATCGAAAGCTGTTCACACATCTCCTCAAAGGAGGCCTTTGTTTCGGCACACAGCGGAGGGACAACGAGCGGCACAACAAAAAAGGAGGATGCTCTCCTGCGAAGCAGCACGCTCGGTGGGAGAGTTAGCTCACACACGTCGCACCAAGGGCGGCGTTCCTCTCTCTCCTTGGCCCAAAAAAATGCAAAAAAATAAAAAAACGGCCCGGAAGAACATCGACTTGATCCACATTTACACATTTGACAACAAGGCATTACCAAACTGACATCACATGCATATGTACATCCGATAGGATAGAGTCAGCCAAGACAACCGGCTCCCCTGCGGTTTTCGAGCGGACGACAACATTCCGCAACGAACGGGTTGTTGCGACAATCTCCCAGAGGGCCTTCCGCAGCCATGCCGCACGTGTCTAGCATACATAGCCACCGCCATGTCTTCGAAGAAGCAAGGCTATAGATAGGCCTCGTCACGCCCGTCTAAACCACTAGCAGAACACCTCGTCCCCCCCAGGCTCATCGTCCCTCTGCCACCCCCCAACAACTAAAACAAT